TTTTTTTTTTTTTTTTTTTTCCACGGATTTTTGTTTTTTTTTTTAAATAAATAATGCCCCCATTTTATTGCTGTTGATGTTAATGCCATCATCAAGGTCACGAGAAAACATATGGGATAGATTTATTTCAAACTTGCTATTTCTTTCATAGCACTTTTAGTCTTTTACTATTTATTCGATATATGTTTTAGCTTAAAATTATAACTTTTTTTTTTTTTTTGGCTAAAATAAAAGTACTATTACATACGCTCCTACCATTATTATTGTTATTAATTTTTTTTTTTATTTCAAATTTTTGTAATCGGCTTGATTTATTGCTGGCATGCAAAAGTTTCCACATAGAAGACTTGGAAGTCAACATTTGAATGGGTCTTAAATAACATGACTCTTCAATTGTCCACACTCATATCATAGAGCATATTTTTCTATCTTTAACTGTGGCCATGTTCCTCACGGCAGCCTCATATTTGTCTACGATAGCTACTTTTTCATCTTTTATTCTGATTCCTCACATTTTCCTAGTCTTTCTTTACTTTTCTTTTCTATTTCGTGCCAATTACTCTCTACTCTAAAACCAATTTTCGTGTGACCTCATCCATTATATCATTAGTTAATTATAAAAAAATTAAATAAATCTCTTAATTAATCCACTCATCTTTGTAAATGGAAAGTAATTTGATATATACATAGGCCTTTATATTAAGCATGGAAATCAAGATTTACAAAGTTTTTGATTTACGCTTCCTCTTAATTATTATCAAATATTGATAGAACAAGCAAAATATACATGCACATTAAAATGACATAGTTGAGTTGGATCCAACCCAAGCTCCTGATATACTCAAGTTTGAGCTCAAACTTCTATCGAGTCAATTAACGAGTTTGAACTTGGTTCGTTTATTATTAACTAGCCTAGTTATAAAAAATTACATAAAAGTTTCTATTTCAAGCTTTAACGCTTCTTAAATGAGCTTGATTTACTAAACAAATTTGAGCCTGGACGAGTCAGTCTGAGCTATAGAAAATTAAATAAAAATTATACTTCAAGTCTTAATGCTTCTTAAAGGAGCCCGAGCCTTAACGAGTCGATCATTTTGTTTAATAGTTTTACATTGCACATTCCACGGCCAACAAAAAGGAGGGAAAAAAGAAATACAAGAAAAATATGTAAATCTTTTATTCTGTGACATATGCTTCCAATCTACTAGCATAGAATATATTTTGCCCGATTTTTTTTTTCCTTTTTAACTGATTCCATAAAGCACATCGCATCTCCTTTTACGGGGGTGGTGTGCAAATCTCCTTGCAGAATATTCCTGGTAAAAGGCCTAAGGGCCCATCTTTCCTACGGGCCTGGTGCAGGAAGGGCCCTAAAGCAGCCCAGTTAATAAGGAGTATATACTGCAATCTGTACTAGATAATGTTATAGTTACAACGTACAAATTACAAGTATAGATGACGCCTCAGGAGGACTACAGTGGGCCGCAAAACACTCGAAGAAGCTTCGCTCTTTCTCGTCGCTCGCTGCATAGCCTCAATTCAAGTTTCAACCTCAGCTAACCATCCAAGGTATTGTTACTCATATTTTATTCCTTTTACTTTCTTCAAGTTTTTCCACGAAAATTGGCCTATTGATGTATTTTCTTCGCTCGTGTTGTTTGACTTTTGAGGTCGATAAGTTTGACAGTTAAATTTAATTTATCTTCTTCTTCTTCATCCCTTTTTTGGGTTCCGATTTGTTCAGAAAATGTAATTTTTCTTAATTGTTTGTTTTCATTTGTTTAATTTTGTTATAGGTGCGGGATGGTGGGGAAATCTTTGGCTGCTCCTTTGCTAGCTTTTGATTCGATAGTTCACCTCTGTTCTTATGTAAGTTCTTTTGTATATGTTCTTATGATCCTCATATATGCTGTTTTTGCCATTTGACAGCTTTCACTACTGATTTCTCTGAAAAATACATTAATTTAGCGATGAACATTTGACATGAGCAATTCTTGAGTTTGTGGGCTGTTAGTTAATTTAATGAAAGTCATTTATTTAGTATGTGTCGTGGAACAAGATAAAATTTGGGCTACTGAATAAT